AATATTTTGCTTTAGCTAGTTCTTGTCCCCTCTTGGTGCCTAATTTGCTATGGTATTTGCAGTGTTCTCAAGTTATACCATAGCTTCTGTTTTTCTGATGTAAGCAAAAAGCTTTTTTAAAAATTCTTTCCCCATCTAACAGTGGAGAAAAGTTGCACTATCACTAGCTTGAGGCTATTGGACATCATTTGAAAAGAATGAGAAGCCTTGCATCATTTTTCACTCCTTTGATAGGAGATTGCCTTGGGGATTAGCAGTGAATAAGGAGAGTAATCTTGACCCTCTTGACAAACATACATCTCTAATGCCAGAGATGTCAAAATGTTTCCCAAATACTTTAGGAACACTGCATCTCTTACAAGGTCCTACAAGAAGCCTGCTGGTAAGCTTTACACAAACAATTCCCAGGTTTCGCCCAATAGCAATGATGGTGCTTTTTGGAGCTCTTGGTAGTCAAGCTGCAAGTAGCATCTTGTAGAGGTTTACTCCCCTCTAACCTTTTCCAGCAGATTTTTCTCTTCAGCAGGGAGTGACTGAACCATCCAAGTGCCATAAACAGAAGACGTTAAAACATGAAGCAACTCTACAACAAAATGAAGTAGCAGCCAGCTACATAATCTCCAGGCATTAATGCTGGAACCAGTGAGTTATAAAGAACCTAATTCACTTTTTGCATGTGCAATGAAATGGAATAACCCTTCTCAAACTAAACAAAAATAAATTGCAGTGGCTTAAGACCTGTGTAGCTGACATCAGAATCATGCTCTTATTTCCACTGGATCATTCCTGTACTCCTCTGGCTTTCATGTCTCAGGACTCTCATGATGCTTTTCCAGGGCAGTCCTTTTCTAGCCTTTGTTTAAATAAGCAAACATTGATTAAGTAAACATTTACTTCGATCAAGTAAACAAACAAACAAAAATAGCATCTCTCAGAATTTTAGCCATTTCATAAACACTGGATTTTGCATGGGATCTAGGAGCTGGAAGCTGCTCCTCCCACTCAAGGAACAGCTTGCTCAGCAGCAGCTGCTTTCCTTTTAAGAGATTTTGTCAGTTTCTTGGGCAAGAACCAGAAAGATTTCTGTGGTGGCAGGCATTACTGTCTGCAAGTTTATGTCATCCAAGGGATGCAGAGGCATTTCTTCCTGGGCAGCAGGGAGTTAACTTGCCTCCTGTTCCCTGCCTTGGGAATAAGAGCTGGGATGGCAGCCCATAGTAGGAGGGTCGGGATTGAATTCGCCAGTGAAGGGGGGGGATAACATTTTTGTGTGAGAAAGATGTTTGCCAAGAAATCGAGAGGGGAAGTAACATGGGAGAAAGGAAGTAACTCATCAGTGTTTGGGACAGACAACAGCAGTTTCAGGATCTGGGTACACATCAGGGTCTTGGATGGATCTTTCTCTACCTTTGTCACTCACAGAGAAAGAAAGCAGGAGGAGAAAGTGTAAGATGCCTTTATAAGCTTACAAACACTGCCAGAACCTCAAAAGCATCCAGTTTCCTACCACTACAGGCTTTCTAAATACCATGACACCACTTCTAGAGAGGAGGAGTTTTCATAGAAAACTTTTAAACATAGAAAACTAGAAAACATTTAAACTAGTCTTCTACCAGCATGGGGCAGAATACGTCACTCACAGAGAAAGAAAGCAGAAGGAGAAAGATGCCTTCATAAGCTTACAAACACTGCCGGAACCTCAAAAGCATCCAGTTTCCTACCACTACAGGCTTTCTAAATACCATGACACCACTTCTAGAGAGGAGGAGTTTTCATAGAAAACTTTTAAACATAGAAAACTAGAAAACATTTAAACTAGTCTTCTACCAGCATGGGGCAGAATAAGGGCAAAGAGAAGGGCAGCAGCAGCCCCAGCTGCCATTGCTCCAGACCACTGGAGGACACCATGACTGAGGTCATAGAAAACTTTTAAACATAGGACTACACTTCTACCAGCATGAGCCACACTGGGGCAGACACATGTCAGTAGGGGCAAAGAGAAGGGCAGCAGCAGCCCCAGCTGCCATTGCTCCAGACCACTGGAGGACACCATGCCATCACTTGAAAGCTCTAGAGGAAGGCTGCTAAAAACCAAAGGCACTTGGCTTTGTACTTCCCAAAACCAAAATACAGTTGGTTAGAAAGAAGTGAGGTACACCATTGCTTCAAAACTTACAATTATTCATTGAATAAAATGCTACAAAAGGAAGGGGGAAAAAAAAGAAAGAAAACTTCTGGGATGCAAAGATTTGCTTTCCTTTATTTTTAATCAGCCATTTGAAAACACTGCAACATGACCAATTCTACAAAAATGTTTTCCTGACCACAGCGTCTTGCATGCAGACAAACACAAGGATTATGCCAGTTCCTGGAAGAGTGAGCATCAGTAGCTTTTTTTAATACTAGAACATGTCTGTTTGTTGTTTTTCTCTCTTCTTACCTCCCTAATTTTGGGGATACTCAAAATTTTTGGGGATACCTTTTTTGTTGTTTTTGTTGTTCATAGGCTCTTAGTTTAAACTATATAAGTACCATATGTTACTTTTTCCTCTGGTTGTTAATTTTTGTTCGGTTGTACAATATTTTTTGACTGTGCAATAAAATTGCCCTTAACAACCTCTCTTCTGCTGTTTCAGCCTCAACAACTTCCACTGGGTCATCTTTGTGCTACTGTTTTAAACAGTTTGCTTGTTTGTAGGTAGCTAATTAGCTATTAGTTCTATCAGCAAGAAACTTTTGAAGTCTGGGCTGTAACTTCTTTTAGTGAGAGCTCACACTAGATCAGTGTGTATTTGAGAAACTTCCCCAGGTAGGATGAAAGATGAGGATCTGACTTGCCTTCCTGGGCAAATATCTCAGGCATTGTCTCGTATTTTGGTGGTACTGAATCCAGACAGCAAGTGGACATGTAGTTATATATGGCTTTGAAGTCAGTGAGATGTTTACTGTCTGAAAAATGGACAGGTGCTCCTGCCCATGGCAGTGGGGCTTGGGACTAGATGATCTTTCAGGACCATTCCAACCCAAGCCATTCTATGATTCTATGAAAATGTAATTCCAGTGTGTCTTGCTGAAATTAATTCAGGTGGCATAATGTTTCACATATAAAGTAATGAAAAAAATCCCAGACTTCAAGGATTACAAAATCTGGACCAAAGGAAGGGGGTAGATAATTAATAGCACATATGAAAGATACAGAAATTTTAAAAAACATCACAAAGCCCCCAAAAGAATCTATGGAAAGGTGATCCTGAACCACAACACTCTTTGTAAAAGAATGGAGTGGGATGGTGTAAAACCTTAAAAATCTTCTGTCAATTTGTACAACTAATTACTGTCTGAAATTTGGAAAACTAATTAGAAGCTGCTTTAAACTGAATGTCGTGAGTGCAAACTGTAATTTTTCCACATCAGGGAGTGTATCCCATGCACTTATTGCAATACTTTAGTGTATAAGACATTCTTGTGGAAAGGCAACAAGCAGCCAGAATCCTTGCAATGTTCTTTACTGGTTGTCTAAAAAACCTGCTGTTTTGTTTCTCTGCTAAATTCTCCTAAAAAAAAAAAAAGCTTAATTAAATCAAAAACATCCCTCTGATGAGCCTCTTCTTTGATCTCTGTCTTTTGATAATCTCTCTCCTGACAGGCTGTGAATACTCTGCTAGCAATACTTCAGTGCTTTCCTCCATGGAGATAACAACTGCTCTGCTCCAGGCATTTCCTTGGCCTAGGATTTGGGATCCCTGGAAGTGGGCAAACATCTCCATCCAGCCTATTGGTGTGAGTGCAGGACTCCATGTGGAACTAATTAGTGTTATAATGAATGCCACAATAGTTTATTGCCAGGAAGCATCTAATGACCTGGCAGTAATCTCACAATGACTGATCAAGATTATCAAGATTTTCTTCAATTCCCTTTAGCAATTTTACCTGATAAATTTGGGGGGGGGCGAGAAGCCAAAATAAAACTGTAAGCAGAACAGAGAGGCTCTGATTTAAAATATCTGATGGATGATGCTCTTCTGCCTTCCTGGGGTTATTGTGTACAGCCCTTGTCCAAAAATTCTTGAACCATGCATACCAAGAGCAGAATGGTTATGACTTATTCTTAATTGATTTCAGAGGACCAGCCTTAAGCTGATGAGTTTTACTTAAATTTGGTATGTGATATGTGGGCTGCAACCTACTACTAACCTCAGGCTGACTATTTTAATCCAAATTGGGTGTGTACTACCGGGATTGGGTAGAAAAAATGGAGTTACTATTTTCAATTGTTTCTGCACATAGCAGGAAAAGCTTTAAAAAAAGAAAGAAAGAAAAAAGAAAATAAAAAGGAGATGGATTGAGATGGTTCACAACCAGAGCAGTCCCCATCCCGTGCCTAGCCCGGCACATGGTGTGTAGGACTAAGCATATGCACAGCCCCCTGCAGGATGCTGTCTCTCACAGACTGTTTTTCTCACAACAGCAGATATTTACCCTGCAGTACAAGAAAGACAAGGAGCTCCAGGAGGGGGGTCAGCGAAGGGACACAAAGATTATTAGGGGTTTGGAACATCTCTCTTATGAGGGCGTCAGAAAAGACTGAAGGGGATCTAATGAATACATGTAAGTATCTCAGAGGTGGGTGCCAAGAGGATGGTGTCGGACTCTTTTAAGTCGTTCCCAGTGACAGGATGAGAAGCAATGGCCATAAACTGAAACACAAGAAGTTTCACCTCTCCATGAGGAAGAACTTCCCACTGAGGGTGGCAGAGCGCTGGCCCTCCACGCGTCTCTGTAGACACTCAAACCCCAGCTGGATGTGTTCCTGCGTCACCTGCTCCAGGTGACCCTGCCTTGGCAGGGGGTAGGACTAGGTGATCCCTAGCGCTGCCTTCCATCTCTGTGCTGTCCCCGCCGCGCTCTCGCCCCGGAGCGCCCGTGCCGGCCCGGTGGGAGCCGGGAGCGGGGGGCAGCAGCGAGGCGGGGCCGGCGCATGTGACCGGCGGCGGGGGCGGCCCCGGCGGGCTGGGCCGCCTCGGCGGGGCAGTGCGGAGCGGCGGCGCCGGGCATGCGGAGCGGCCGGCTCCCGGGCAGATGATGGCGATACGCGAGCTCAAAGTCTGTCTGCTCGGAGTGAGTAAGGGCGGCCGGGGGGTCGCCTCCCCATTCCCTTCCCTCGCAGGTGGGGGCTGTGGGAGCGGGGTGGTCGCTGAGCCGGGGAACGCTTCCAGCCCCGCCGTCCCGCTTCCCGGGGGGAGCCGCGTCTGGCGGTGCCGGGCGGGGCGGGGGGGCTCGGCCGCAGAAAATTCCTCCACGCCGAAACTTGGCAGCCGCGCACCGGCCTCGGCGGGGCGGGGGAGGCTGTGGGGCTTGTTGTTTTTGTCTTGTTTCTCAACTTTTTAAAAGCGAGGAGGGCGTAGCGGGCCGGGGGAGGTGGTGAGCGGCTCTCTTTTGGGGGCTCCCCCGGCGCTCCCCAGGCAGAGCCATCCCGGCGGCGGCGGCCCCGCGGAGTTCTCCCTTTGGTGCCAGAACCCCGGAGGCACCTGGGGGTGGGGAGGGGGGATTGCTGCCCACCCTGGGGCTCGCTGCCCACCCTGGGGCCCGTCACAGGCGGCGGTGGCCTCGCCGAGCCCCGTTCCAGCGGTGGGGAGCCGCCCGGAGCCAGGAGCAGCGCTGCCCCGGGACGCTGTGTCCGGCGGCTCCTGCTCCCGTCTCACCGATGTGCTGCTCGGTGCTTTGTTTAGTTCCTTGCCTGGCTTTATTTAGCAGCGCTTCTTTGACTCTCCTCCATACAGGACCGTCCTTTTTGCCATTCTTTTTTTTTTTTTTTCCCCTTCTTTCGCTTTTTTGGCGAACTCGCGCGTGCGTTTCACATCTGGAGCCGCAATGTGCTGAGCTCTGCACTTTGGCTGCGCCTGCCCCTCTCTGCCCGGCACCGAGGGAGCTTCCCGGCAAAATGTGCCCACCAAGTTGGCACAAACACCGCCGCAGAGCAGAACCACCTCTCCTGACAGTAACCAGCAGAGCATCGCTACTCCAGTACACGAGTTTCTTTTTAAAAGTCAGACATCTCAAATTACCCGGTGCAAGTGTGGCTGCTTTTAGGCCCACATCTCCATAAGCACTCAGTGAAGCTGGATGAATGAAGGCGTTTTAGAGTGAATTTGCTTTCACGCCATCCAAGTGAGTTGAACATTTGAAAACCAAACACAAATAGTCGCTCCAGTTCTCTCTGATTTGTGTTGACACTTAGCCCAGCAGGAGTGGGTACCTTGCCCTGGAGTAGTTCTTGCCAGGATGCGGTGCCAGGGTACTGGAGTGTTCAACCCAAAGTATTTGGCAGTGACCATTCCTCCTTTCTTGGTTAGAATTCCTGCCTTCAACTTTTAAAATGGCATAGTGACAAAAATAAATGTGGTTTGTACAAACATGAGGAGTCTGTGGCAGAATATGTGGATGTGTCTTTGCTTGTTTTCTTCTCCAGCAGAAAATGTTGTAATTTTATAGAGATGAAGTGTCTAGTGGTATGAGATTCCACATGTCCATAATTTATTGATGTTTTGTAACATTAAAACTTCTGGAGATTTTGTAAGGCAGTTGTTTGCTTTTTTTTTTTTTTTTTTTAAGATAGGGAAAGAAACCTATAATGCAGCTGTGTTTTGCTAGGAGTATGCAATTACTCTGAAGATTCATTAAAATGATGGGGTGGCAGTGGTGGCACTTAGGGAGATGTGTCTGTAGTTATAGTCACTTAGTAATTAGTGATATGTTCCTTCTGTTTTAAGAGGGCATAGTTGTAGAAAGCCTTCTACTTCTGATCACAGACATCTCATTTATCATGGGGACTGACACTATTTTCCCAAAAGAGAGGAATCTTTCAGATGATGAATCCCCTCAAGAAGTTGACGTTTCTAGAGCAGGGAAACTCCATACCTGTCTGTGTGAACAAATGGAGGCATTAATTGTCTGATTTGCTTGAAAGCTAGATGGCAACTCAAAAATACAGTCTCAGATCTACCAAAAGAAATCTCGACACTTGTTTTTTCCAGTAGGTCCTGGACCTGGTTAATCTGCATTGTACATCATAGATCCCTTGATAATCAGTCAAGTCTGGCATGTCCTAGTCCCAAGACAAGTTCTTATCCTTGTTAGAAGTTAGAAATGTGAATTAAATTGGTTTGTAAACCCATATCCCTCTCCACTTCTGAACACAGCCCTAGACTGCAGCTCTGGATCAGACAGGAGGATCACTGACAGTTTGGTCAAGCTGTGCAGAGGGCCTGGGCTTGGGCTGTTCCTGCCTATTCAGAATTTCCCCATGGGAGAAAACTGCAGCTGGTGCAACGTTTGCAAACCCAGCTTCTCCATAAACTCTGGAGCCCCATTTGGCTGTAGAGTGTCCAGATGGGAAGATGATGAAGATGAATAGAGAAACCAGAGCTGTGGTCCACACTGCCAGTACTCCAAGGCTAGTGAGTGGCCTGGAGCCATTGCACTGAAGATGGGGAGTAGGTTATTGGCTCCTGGATGTAACCCCACCTTGCCAGGAGGGAGCCTGGCCTCTAGTTTTTAGCATTAACCTAACAAACCAGGATTTGGGTGTCTGCATTTCATTTCTTCCTCCTCCAGAGTATCTTGGGGTTTTTAAAATTCTCTATGGGTGTCATGGGAGTGGTTTGGAGCAGCCAGGAGTAGTGCACTCCAAGATGATGGTTACGGGATTTGTAGCTGTTGAAGGAGACACGAGTGAGAGAAGGGCAAAGGGGAAATCTGGGGCAGCGGGAGGGTGGGAGTGAGTCAGTTTGGAAGGAAGTCTTTGTTGATTGCAGAGCTCTCTGAGAAGGGATGGTTCCAGCTTGCCAGTGGGTGAGCAGGAGCAGGATGCCTGCCTAATTGTCCAGTGCCTCGCAGCCTCGGGTGTAGGAGGTACAGAGGAGCAGTTGAACAGCTCTCTTTAGCATGTTGCCATGCAAGTGTCCTCAAGCCTGCTCCTAAACTACTTCCTCCAGCAAATTATCGCTGCTGGGCAGTGAGGTATCTGCATGTTCAGCTTCCTGAGTGCAAATGCTTGAGCTCTGCTCCAAGTCCTCTCTTGTTACCCCTGGCTCTTCCTGTTCTCTCAGTCCAGTTTGTTATTTGTTCCCAGCAATTGTCCCTGCATTAGATGCCACATGGGTCTGAGCAGGTTTTAGCTGCAGCTCAGTGTGTGTGGTGAAATGAAGCGTAGCTCTCGTTTGGTTTGCATGGTGTTCCCATGTGGGCACCTTGTTGAGTGGCTGGAGAGAGAGGAGTGTAGGGGAGCTGCTGTGTTCCTGAGCCGTGCTTCAGTGCTGAACTGTGGCTGGCTGTGCAGCTGCCAGCTTTCCTAATCTGGCTGTGGCTGCTCAGTGCCCTGTGCCTTAGCTCCCAACATTTTCTTTATGTGGGCTGGAGGAGCGATTTACAGCTCCCTGCCAAATCCTGACATAATTGTGTGTGGCAACCACAGAAGAGATTGCCAGGTTTACGACTGAGGCAAAGTTTCTTGTCTTTGTCACTTCCTGAGGAAACTTTGACAACTCTTCAGACTTTGGGAGGTGGTTTGCTGACTACCATCTAAAGTGACCTCCATTACTCCTTTCCTTCTCTTTTTGTTTATTACATTTTTGTGTTGTGACTGTACATCACAGGACCAAAGGAGGTAGGACTGGAAGAGGCTCAGAGGTCATCCCTTGTTCCTAAAGCCCTTCTTATTCCTTACATGTGTTTGTTTCCTCTGTCTTTAAAAACTCACCATCTTCTCCCTGGGGTTATGTCCCAGGGCTTAACTGCTTTTACTGTAGAAAGTTTTTCCTGGACTTAGTGCCCACATCTTCCCTAGCTGACACTGTTTCTTCACCCTTCTGTCTGAGCCTCTGTTTTCTTGCTCATAAGAAGTCGCTTGCTGGCCTGCGTTCTGCTAGCATGAAAATGCTGTCTGAAGCTGGTGAGCCTGCATTTGTAAAAGGGGTGACATTTCCTCTGTGGAAATTATGCTATGATACAGATATATACACAGATCACTGGGAATCTTTTAGTTTGTGTCTAAAATGTTTGTCATAGTCAATGCTTTTATGGCCTACGTGTCCCAACACAAATAGGAAAGCTGCTGTTGAAGACAGAGCGGCACCCCTGGCTGGGTTGAACCAGTTCAGGAGCTTTCTTGTCACCAGGTGTGTGCAAGGTGGCCTCCATGGTAAGGTGAGCATCCTGCTGAGGACAGTGGCACTGCACAGTGCAGAAGCCACGGGTGCATCAGCAGCTGCAGTGTTGTAGCCTAAAACAGAGAGTACAGCAAACAAAGGGGGTCATGAAAAGAGGAAAAAGGTACTGATGAAGTAAATGTGTGCCTTCTATAATTTTGTCCGCAAAAGTGTCTTGTCTGAGAGAAGAACAGAAACTGCCAAGCAATTTCCCCCCCGTGTTAATGGTTCTTCATTACCTACTCATTCATTCTATTTCATTATGTAAACAAGTAGCTCTATCATGAGAGAAATTTTTGAGTTGTGACCGCATGGCTGTCTGTCTTGGGAAGTCACTGGTTTGAAGTGTCCATCATTTCAGCCTTTCCATCAAAGGAGCCCTTTGATCTGTGTCTCTTTCCTAGCCAGTTATGTTTTTGCATTGTAGTGAAACATCAAATTGCAGGTAAAACTGAACAGTGATTTTAAGTCCATGGCGAACTGAAAGACAGACACATGGTTAGCTGAACTGCACGTACCTAATTTTCTTCAGAAATGGTTTTTTCTTGGTATTCTTCTTTGGTGAAGAATACTCTGAAATATGCTCTTAATGTGAGCACACAGCACTTCCATATTTCATTGCCCTGCTTTGCCAGTCAAAAGAAGTTACAAGATACTGAAGGAGACTGGGACTGGTGATTTTGTTTTTATTGTGTTTGTCAATATTGCATAAAAATCCAGTTATGCACTAAGCAGGAAAAGCCTGTTCTCTTGTATCAGTAAAAAATGCCTTCAGAAGCCTAAAGCAGCCTTTTAATATTATTTTATAAGACATTTAAATGGCTACAATCAGATTTTTTGCAATATATATACATTAAATATGTAGGTAAACAATTTCTCACAATTTGGAATTCAGGATTCCATGTTGATCTT